GGGACGCCTGAGCAGATTTTATTTCAGGGGGACAGACCGTCTTTGTCTCTCTGTGAGGACGTCAGGCACGTTTGTTTCCTTCCTTTTCTTTTCTTGCCCCAGTCTCTGCCTGTAGACTGGTCTAAAGCACCATGGACAGCGCACTGGACAGACTGGACGCTGCAGGATTCTTACAGATCTGGCAACATTTTGACATAAATGGTATGAAGGCGAGCTTTTTAATGGACCTTAAATTACTAATATATATAGATATATGAATGTATTAAAAAGATATCTGGCATACAAACTGTATAAATTGATTTGAATTTGCTACTGCTTCTAAATACAAAGTGCAAAACTTGACGTGATATGAAACCAGTGAGATTTAAAAAGAATTTTTTTAACTGGGACGATCATGTTACAGCAGTTTAACAAACAGACCTATAATTAAATAAAATAATAGCTTAATAATGTACAGTAATCAATAAAATGGAACAGGACACGAAGAAATGTAAAAGTCCTTAAGCAGAAAATAATGATGGAATTCAAATCAAAGTAAAACTACAATCAAATACAAAAATAAACTGATAAATTGTTGTGATTGTGATTTGTAGCTGATGGAAGTGAATATGTGAGATAATGATAATACGTGTGAACAGTGCAGGGTTTAATCAAGCTGTTGAGACTTTCTTCAGTTCCAGCCTCAACTTTGTGACTTTAAGAGGAAACTCAGTATTTATCTGAATTATAACAATTAATTTGAAACAAACTACATTGTTTGGAAAGATTGTAACCGTCGCAGTAAATCCTGTTATGATTCAGCTCTCTGAAAACGGCTCGTGCAGAAGAACTGAACCAATTTAGCTGGAAGAAAGAAGTGAAACTGTATCAGTGTCACATAAGCAGTTCTACCCGAGAGTAAGTGACAGAAAAAAACATCATTTTGTTTCTGTCTTAGACAACGGCTACATCAAAGCCAGTGAGCTGGAGGCCTTCTTTAAACACACGTTGCACAAACTCGGGATGAAGGTAAGAGATCCATGTGTGAGAACGGTTAACGAGGTTCTGAACTACAGTTTGTATTTTTTTTCCACTGTAAAAGTCAGACATGATTAAAACAACTATGGTAACTTTTTGCTAGCATTTTGATTTTTCTGGTTCACATTTGAAGGAAAACTTCACTGTAACTCCCAGAGGTTAAAAAATAATAAGTGAACAGGACCCAGAAATGCCCAAAACTCATTAGCTGCAGACTGATGTCCATGCTGTTTTCAGAAGGAGGAGATAACTGAGGACAAAATCAGGAGGCTGAAAGAGAAGTTCATGCCTGCGTGTGACATCGGGGCTGACGGACGTCTGCAGATCCAAGAGGTACGAGGTCAGCCTTAGACGTGTTCTGTCAGCAACCAACTCCTGTGCAAAAAAACATACATTACAAAAAAGAAGAAGAAATAAACTCAACAACAGATTCTTCACCTTTTCAGCTGGCCACACTGATGCTGCCAGAGGAGGAGAACTTCCTACTTCTGTTCCGCAGAGAGACGCCGCTGGACAACAGTGTGGAGTTTATGAGGGTGAGGGTCAAAGGTCAACAAATAATGGAGCGATGAGGAATGGAGGAGGAGGATGGATATTTAATGAGTAACAGTGTGGAAGAACATTTCACAAATCAGAGATTAATCAATATCAACAGTTTTGTTTCCTTTTGGTATTTATGTGCACATTTCTGAAACACCACGAGTCACAAAATGCTCAGAATTATAATTACATAAATAATGCATGCAAATAAAACAAAATACTAAAGGAAACTGTAAAGGCGTTAACCTTTTAATTTAACAGACAATCAATATTCCCTGTCTTATCAATCATTACGAATGACACCGCTCTGCAGACCCTAATCTCTTTGCAGGGCAAGAGTGTTAAAGGCACACCTTTATCCACACCACCTGAGGGAGGCTTTCGGGGAGGCGCCCCAGCTTTTTTTCAGCTAACTTATTATGTAATTTAAATTAAAACCTCTTCTTTGTGAAATTCTGGTATTAGTCTCCATATTTATGTTGCAGCTTTTGAGTCGTAACAGAGGAGAACCTGGATTTCTTTCTTTATTTTTAACCATGGTCACTTTGGTAAAAACACGTCGGGAAGCTCCACCTTCTCTGGTTTCCTCCTTGGACACTTCAGTTACTTTAAACTTAGTTTCAGCAGGCTTCTCGCTGACACCATCCTCACCCCGTTCTCTGCTTCACCTCCAGCTAACCATCTTTCCTTAATGAGGAAAATTCTTCACCAAGAGAGTTGGAAACCACGTGAACCACATCGTGTGAAAGTTCTGGGCACACCAGCATGATGTTTGCTCACCATCTGCCCTACTGTTCACATTTGACTTCCTGTGACTTTGCAATCTTCCACAACATTTACGTGAAGTTTCACACACTAGTAGAGATCCACTGTGCATCCACTGAGTGATCTAAAAAGTGCAACATGTATGATACATTATGGAAATCTGTTACATTGTTTTGCACTTTGTCCGAGGCTTCAGGGTTTTTGGTGTGACATTTTTACCTACTTGTCTAATATTTTTAAGAGTAAGATTGAGCCAAATCTGATAGTAATTATGTTTGGGATCTCCAAAGAAACACAAAATTTACAACACTCTCAAAAAAGGTTTATATCATATGCACTGATTATTGCAAAGAAACTGATCCTGCAGCTTTGGAAAGGCAAAGAGACTCCTGTATTAAAGACGTGGCTTACAGAAATTACAAATACTCTTCATCTTGAAAAAATA